ACACACACACACACACACACACACACACAAATCCTGGTTCCTTGCAACTCAGAGAGACCCATTGGACAACTCTGAGAACAGACAACTGCCCCTGATGGTTGCCAAGGCTGTAAATCTTTACGGAAGCCTCATCTTTTTCCAGAAGAGGAGCGAGTGGGTTTGGGCTCCTGACCCTGTGGCTAGCAGCCAATCAGGGTTCCTCATCTACAACCATAAAAGCTCAAAGACTCACTGTCATAAAGTCAATTCCAACTCATGGCGACCCTGTAGGACAGAGTGGAACTGCCTCTTGGGGGTTTCTGAGGCTGTCTGCTCCCATGAAGATTTACAGCCTCAGCTTCCTCTAGGTTGGAAATGGCTGACCTTGCCTGCTGACCTTTCAGTAAGTGACCTGCTGGGCACTTAACCCACTCCACCACCAGGGCTCCTAATCCTTTGGTCAGAGATGCTGATTTTTCTTCATCTCTTTGCCACGGGGCTTGTTTGAATCACAATCTTCAAAGAAGCAGAATGTTCAGAGAGCAGGGCACATGAAGCCAGTCTGTCGTTTCACTGGGGTAAGATCGGCTGCCTACTATTTGTCCCAGGACACGGTTACCACGGTCACATAGAAACCAGACAATGGCACCGAAATGCCACTGTCAGAGGAAGGAAGGAGCTAGTCTCGGTCCTCTTAGCATTGCCAACAGAAGCAGTGAGAGAGGTTCTTTGCAGACCTCCGTCCTCCCACCTGGAGAAAGACCATCTCGGCCAGTTGCTAATGTAAAATAGGAAGCTACTCACCAAAGGAAACATCGCCAAAATTCAGGGCAGGAACATTAAAGTGGAAGGTGGGTCCAATGACACAGCCCCTGCAAAGAAAGACAGGTACTTGTGGAGGGAGGAGACTCGGGTGGGTCCAGGGCCACAAGCAGGAACTGGAGAGCAGCTAAGTGCTGAAAACCATCATTTGGCATGAAGTCGATTATAGAAGCTAGGACTTAAAGAACTATGCCACCAGATTTTGGCAAAAGACGCTGCGGCTAATTTGCCCCCTTATTCTTAACAATGATTGATGTGAAGGTAGAGCAGATGTCTCGCTTAACTCACGAGACAAAATAACATTATTTTAGATGATATACATCTCATAACAACTTATTAACATGGGTAAGAAATAAAAAATTATAGGTCTGATCATATAATATGCATCAAAGATGTCCAAGGACCCCAGTAATTCCTGCACCATACTCTCACAATAACTGTTTTAATTCGGTTCCTGCTACCAGCTAGCGGCCAGTCATTTTCAACTGTCTAGGTATCAGGTATGAGAGGACTGGATGAGGTGAGCTTGACAGACCGTTTGCTCTAAATGTCAATCTCCTTCTCCCTCAACGCCAAGTCTTATGCTCTGGGAGTGATTTTTCATCTTAAAGTAAGAATGATTTCACAACATCTAGCTGTATTTGAATCACTGAAATATCACTGCATCTGTGATGATGCTAAGTTGCATGGCAAAGATCAATTCAGGGAGCAGGTGGAATTAAGATGGCTAATTATCTCACTCGAAAATAGGGAGTATAGAAAGCGGTGGGGTGGGGAGTGGCGGGAGCGGGGCG